GCGACGACTGGATATGATCGCCAGCCACATTGAGCCGTTGCCATGTGGCCGCAACGTTGTCTCGAAGGGGTCGAGAGGCCGCAGGGCACGGCATTTGCATTCATCCGTGGAAGTGTCACGGGGGAAGAAATGCGAGTCTCTTGGCATCTGGCATCTCGCTGCCTTTTGACGCCATATTCGGTGAGTCCGTGGGTACTGTCTGGTGCTTCTGCCTTTTACTGGATGATTGGAGCTGCTGAGATGTGGAGGGTATTTGCTGCGCCTTCTTTTTTTGGTATATTTGTCGCACGCCGTGTTCGAGACGGTTTTCGATTGCCGCATTGCATAGGGTGCTGCAAGGCGATGCATTATGCCACGCGATTGTGTTGTGGGTGCCATGCGGTGGAAATATTTGACGTCTTTGAGGTGCCCTTGGAGGGTGGGGTGGCGATCCTCCGGCGCGGGTGATCACTGACGGGTTCACACGCCCCTTTGAACCTGCTGTCCCTTCTTTGTACTTTCATGAACTGGCCGCGGATATTGCAGAATATATTCAGGTTGCTGCGGTGCTCCATGCATTCAATGTGTTGTCCTCCGCGCCGTCAACCTCGGCAGCTGACCGACCGCTCCCTTTGAAGGATTCGGGGGAGGATCCGTCCAATTTGTTCCGCGGCTGGAGTCACTTCCTTCATTTCTGTCGGCTAGACACGTCCACACCGTTACTTTGCGTTCCCTTCCCTCAATGGGAGGAATGGGTGACGACGGACCTCGAGAGACGGTGGCACTTTTTGTTTCATTGCCGGGGGGTCGGTCAGCGGCAGTTGATGCATCAGCCCTTCCTGACGGTCGGCGACACAAACTCTGTGGCCGAGACGATTTGGATGGGAGTTCACAGAGGCAGAATGCGCGCTTTCTTCCGTGCTTATGCCGATGGAATGCAATTATTTGCCTCTTATTGTGATGCCTCGTGTGTGCCATGACACCACATTGAGGAGAGCACGAGGTGCTATTGACCATGCTATTTTGTTAGGCACCACGGCTCTTTTCGGGTGTGTGATTCGACTGTGTGTTGGGTCTGTTGAGTGGAGGACGTGGATGGGCCGCGCTCATCCGACCGCTGGGCCTCATTTTTCTGAACGCCCTGACCAAAATGCTGCTCTCCTTTTGCTTGCCTTACCGGGCCTGGCGACCTCTTGAGGAGCGGTGCGTCGGCGTGGACTGTCGGGCTGCTGAGGAGGCCGTGGCTGCGCGGGATGTCCTGCGGATTTTTTTTGCGTTTCAGGACTACTGTAGAGAGGAGGACATTTATGCCTTCTCCACGTCCAGGAGAGTAAATGGAGGGATCGCGGTTGTGGGATCGCACTTCACGAGGGTCTGCGCTCGCTGATCGCGTCGACGGTGCGCTCTGTGTGTCTTCGACCACTGCCGAAGCATCCCGCCGTTTTTCTTCCGGTGAACGGGAAAATTCACCGACACGCCGAGGGTGGTGGGGGATGTTGCAGCAAGGAACGCTTTAAAGGTTCTACAGTGAGGGAGCGGTGCTTGCAAGGATCCCGCAGCAATTGGTATTCTGCTTGCCTTTAATTTCTCCTCTCTGTCTGTTGTTTGGTGCCGTTTGCCGGAGAGCGTCTTGGCCCGTGCGCAACCGTCAAATTCTCTGCTTCTGTATGTGGCCTCACATTTTTTGGGCCGTTGTGGACGGTGAGAGTAATTACTGTGGCGGTTACGACGAAGCGGATGTGTTACACTGTGGCTGGTGGCGCCACCCACTTCTTTGCCACGTTCTGTTTTGATGCTTTTTAGATTTTAATTTGATTTCTTGCACACAAACACACTCAGGCTATGAAGGAAGCTACGACCAAGCGCGATCCCTGGCTCAGCCGGCCACCTCAACGTGGTGCCAGGGTCTAGTACTCTTACTAGAGAGGAAGCTAAGCGCCTGCTGTTCATGCTTCAAACCCGATGAGTAGTTGTTACTTAGTTTTACGGGCCGGAAGGGCAGATGTTGGAGCCATTCTATAGTGGCTGCCCGCGGAGTAAGGTTATCCTTGCTACTGAATTCCTTCGTACGCTTACCAGAGCTGCACAATTGAGGTGTAGTTACTACGACTGGTAAGAGAAGAAAAAAAAAAAAAAAAAAAACCAAGCGCGATTCCCTGGCTCAGCCGGCCACCTCAACGTGGTGCCAGGGTCTAGTACTCTTTGCTAGAGAGGAAGCCAAGCGCCTGCTGCCCATCCGCTTCCCGCGGAGAGGCAGGAGGCGCCGCACAAACGGGTCGGAAGGGCACCAGATGGAGCCATTTACATGGCTGCCCGCGGAGCGGTATTTGTATCCGCTGCTGAATTCCATCGGCACTCATCAGCGCTATACATACCGTTTGCGTGCCGTATGTGACGCACAACGACAAAAGCTACTGCTAAGCGGAGGCATTGAGCAGAACCCAGGCCCCGTAGCAGTACTCCAGATGAACGTTTCTTGCCTCACGCCGTCAAAATTCGCAACATTAATGGCGCAAGGAGCAGACATAATAGCCATCCAGGAGACATGGAAGTCGTCAGAGCGGATCGCCAGCATGCATACTGGAGATTATGTGCTCTATGCACAGTCGCGCATCGGCAAGGGAGGCGGTGTGGCGGTGCTGGTGCGGAAAACTCTCCGCTCCAAGCGTATACCTCTCACCATCCCCCAGCATGACACCAGCCTTGAAGTGGTGGTGGTCCAGGTTGCTCTGGACCAGAACCGTGATCTTATTGTAGCGAGTGCCTATATGAGACCACCACCGCAAGTAACGCAATCCTTCAGGCGGTTAGTAAACTGCCTTCCAGCCTCGACGCCGCTCCTGCTGTGCGGGGATTTCAACATGCATCACCCACAGTGGGAGCCATTCTTGGAGACTTCTCCAAGCGAGGTTGCTGCAGAATTTTTAGAACTGTGCACGGATGCGGGACTCACCTTGGTTAACACCCCTGGTGCGATCACGTATGCCCGTGGCACAAGAGAACGATCCTGTATCGATCTGACATGGTCAAAGCATTTGACTGTGTCGGATTGGTCAGCTTCAGTGTCGCCGCTTAGTGATCATTATATGCTGACATTTACGCTGCATCAGGCATTTAAGGATACCATACCTTCGGCACCTAAGTTTTTCTACAGTTGGGGGAAGTGCAAGTGGGATTTATTCGTCAAGGACCTCGACGCACAACTTCCGGCATACGACTATAAAAAGCAGTCCACCGGCATTAAGGCTTTCACGAGAGCGCTTATAACTTCGTATCGACGACATTGCCCCCGCGGCATGCACAAGGACGGTCCCAGGCTTTGGGACGACACTCTCATGGAGGCAGAGCGGATTGCTACCGACAGCAAGGCCCGCTATCTACAGTTACCGACGCCCGACCGTGAGGCAGAAATGCAACGGACAAGGAGTCAATTCTTCCTCCTACTCCGAGAGCGCTTGCGCAACACGTATCTACGTCGCGTCAGCAAGTTAAATCCAGGCGAGCCACTCGCATGGAAATACATTTCCGGACGAAAAAAGGCATCACTTCCATCTCCCACATCAATTTTATTAGGAGATGGTCAACACACTTACAAAACAGCAAGGAGAGCAGCGAATGCTCTCAATCGCATCTTTCTTCCATTTCACCCCTCTCACAAGGCAGTTAGGTTTTCCAAAGACATCAACAGACGGAGTGCATCTTTGAACATTAATGCTTCCTTTCTTTTTGGGCAGCAGAACAACAGCGAGTCTGCTGCCTCATTTACTTCATTTTCTTCTACTTCTTCTAGCTCCGAGCCGCAGAACAACAACGAGTCTGCCGCTACTTCTAGCTTAGTTTCTTCCACCTCTCTTATCTCTTGTATTTCTGAGCCGCAGAACAACAACGAGTCTGCCGCTACATTTACTTCAGGTTCTTCACTCTCATCTAGCTCTGAGCCACAGGATAAAAACGAAGCTGCCACCACATCCGGTTTAGTTGCTTATCTTCACTCCCCTCTTGATGCACCTTTTAATCGTACGGAACTGCTTGCTGCGCTACGTAATACGCCGTATGGCAAGGCCCCCGGACCGGATGAAGTCTGCAGTGAGGCACTGCGACATATTTCGTCAAAGGGCCTCCGATTCCTTCTTCGTTGCATTAACCACAGTTGGACGACCGGTACGATTCCGGTTGAGTGGAGACGCGCTACCATCGTTCCACTCTTAAAACCCGGTAAGTCGCCGGAACTGCTTGAGTCATATCGACCCATCAGCCTTACCTCCATTGTGAGTAAGGTTGCTGGGAAAATGGTACTGAAGAGATTGCTTTGGGTGTGGACGCCGCACCCCCACCAGTATGCATATCGTAGCATGCGTACTACGACGATGCAGCTGGCACACCTGATACACGAAGTGGAGCATAATAGAAATCACTATTTCCAAGTGAGCCTTCCCAAGAAGAGCGGTATTGGCAATCAACTCCACTACAGACCCCATCGGACCCTGCTGGTGCTGGTTGATTTCAGCAAGGCTTTTGACTCCATAGATCATCGAGTCCTCAGTCGCTTGCTGGCTAATATTCCGGGGGTGAATTGTAGAAGGTGGCTTAGAAACTTTCTATGTGGTCGCTACGCGAAGACACGAGTTGGCCACAGACACAGCGATCGGCGTCCCATGCTGCGAGCAGCCCCTCAGGGGTCCGTGCTGGGACCGTATTTGTTCTCCCTTTACGTACACCCACTTCTCAATCTGCTGAACAGCTTTGCGGGTGTCACAGCAGACATGTATGCGGACGACCTCTCTATTATTGTTAAGGGGCAGTCCCGGGAAGACGCCATTCCCACTGCCAACATGGTTCTTCAAAAACTGCATGCGTGGAGTCAG